CTCTCTCTCTCTCTCTCTCTCTCTCTCTCTCTCTCTCTCTCTCTCTCTATCTATCTATCTATCTATCTATCTATCTATCTATCTATCTCTATCTCCGGAAGGAGAAGAAGAAGAAGAAGAAGAAGAAGAAGAAGAAGAAGAAGAGGAAGAAGAAGAAGCGGACGTGGAAGTGGAGGACGAGGAAGAAGATGTTGCCCTCCTCACTGTCTCACCTGCAGGTAACTGCTGCCATGTGCTGCTGGCGCCGGATGCAGGTCACCGGTACGACGTCAGGCTATGGCACCCAGGTAAGTGGCCGCGCTACAGGTATGGCCACCGCCGCTCTCCCTCTCTCCCTCTACCCACAAGCTAACGCAGCGCTGTGTAGTGCTGGGCCTCGCTGGTGTAGCGCTGGTCCTTTGCTGAAACAGCCTCCCTGGGTCCCTACCGGACGTCCAGGCCGTCCCTGCTGCATCCGCTACCAGACGAAGATGAAACTGGCCCGAAAGGGCCTGCCTGCGGATGAAGAAGGCCCAAACCGTGGCATTTGTCCGAACAGACCGAAAGTCTGTTCGGACGAACTGCAAGTCCGAAACGACGCCTGAACGGACAAAAATAGGACAGCAAATAAATAAATAAATAAATAAATAAATAAATAAATAAATGCTGTCTCAAATTGAATCCTGCGGCCCTAAGGCCGGTCGCGCGCCTCCAGGGCGCATGCGTGAATGGCGTGCGGCCCCCAGGAACCGTTGGTCGCCCGAAACGGGGCCTGTGTGCAGGCTCAGCATGTAACAACTTCCCTCCTCTCCCTCCCTCGTCCTCTCTCTGTCTGCCTGCCTATCTACCACTCTCCCCACCACTCTTCCTATCACTCTTTCTAATGCTCTTCCTTTTGTCTGGAGAAGAAGAAGAAGAAGAAACAGGTCCTTCGTAATGCTCTCTGATGATCTCTCCACCTGCCCAATCAACAATCATGCACAGATGTTCAATTAGAGGAGAGATATAAGCGTTATATCTGCTTGTGTGTGTGCCTGTCTGCTTGCTTGTCTTCCATGTTCTTGCTTCCTTGCGGTGAGCTCTCACCGCTGTCCTCCATCTGTGAGAGTCGAAAGGAAGGTATTGCTGCCGTCTGTCTGCAGAATTACAGCTGTGTGATTGTCTACCATGTGAGTGTTGCGAATGCCTGCTCCCGAGGCGGCGGAGGGGCACAGCACGTAAGAAGACGAAAGAAAAAGCAGAAGGAACCACTGAAGGACGGAGGACAAGGAAATGGAGAAGGTAGGAGGAGAAGCATAAATAATTGCTGTAGTAGCAGCAGGGAGAAGCAGGAAGAATGTACCCACCCTTGATGGCTGAACAGATACACAACACTAAACATGTACCGAGAATCCTGATGGGTAATGGTAATAGTAGAAGCTACCCCGCTTCAGGAAAAAGTAAAGAAAGGCGGGCAGGAAATGCAGGAGGAAGGAAGAGAAGCAGAAGGAAAAACTGAGGAGGCGGCAGGAGTGGGCAGAGGAGAAGAAAGGCCGACAACTTGGCGATACGACAAAAGAAACTCACAGCTTCTCCTTTTGATAAGAACAGATAGGGGTTAAGTGGGTACGTCTTTGCTAGAGCGAGTTCGTTCTTCGCCCTCTTACAGTACTTCTCACAGAGAGCACTTGTATCATTGCTACATCTAAAAGTAGATGCACATGTCTGATGACACCATCATCTATTCTGTCCTTATGCAATCAGGTTCTCAGAATTGGAGCCAGCTATGGATTTGTTTGAGGAAGGCATCAGCCGCGGACTGCTAAACAACTTTGACCTATCACGCTTGGAATGGGGCGAAGAAAAGGCTCTGGTGAGTTAAACGGCAACTCTAAACCCAAAATCCGAAACCGTGAACTGTAAACCCTAGACCCTAAACCCAAAACCCAAAGCCTTAAACCTTGCCCTGCAACCTGAATCCTTAGCCCTTAACCCTCAACCCTCAACCCTCAACCCTCAACCGTCAACCGTCAACCGTCAACCCCTAAGCCATTAACCCTGAACCCTCAACACTCAACCCTTAACCCTGAACCCTGAACCCTCAACACTCAACCCCTAAACCATTAATTCTTAACCCTTAACCCTTAACCCTTAACCCTTAACCCTAAACCCCTAAACCCTTAACCCTTGACCCTTAACCCTTGACCCTTAACCATTAATCCTGATCCCTAAACCTAACCCTTAAACCCTAGACCGTTCTGTTGCCCCTTCGGTTGCCCCTTCTGTTGACCCTTCTGTTGACCCTTCTGTTGACCCTTCTGTTGACCCTTCTGTTGATCCTTCTGTTGACCCTTCCGTTGACCCGTCTCATCGCCCCCTAAAAGGCTAAAAGCGTGAAACCCTAAACTATAACTCGTGAATCCTAAACCCTAAACCATTCGGCTATCCTTCTCTTGACCGCTGTAACCTTCTTCCCTTGAATACAACGTACGGTCATTATTGCTGTATTTAGACTGAAAGTTATCCCAAACACAGCTACAATGACACTATGGTGCGTTCGGGTGAAGAAGGTATTTGTGTGCCAACCCTGCCGTGGGCCCGTTTTTCCGAAAGAAAGTCAAAAGACCTTGAAGTCAGGGTTGTCAAAAAGAACTGGCGAGAAGTCTATGTGCAGAGTCAGCTGGTGGATGGAGGTGACCAAAAGCGACAAGGTCAATCTTGGAGGCCCCGTGGTTGTCTGGCAAATTGCTGTCGAGAAAGAGAGGTTATGCAATTTAAACCACCACACTCCATCGACACATCAAAATTAGCTTACATTGACTATGCCTCGATGTTGGGAGGGCACGTGTGCCACCTGCCCGGCAACTGTGATGGTTTTTCGTGGTAAGATTTCCTCACAATTAAAAAAAAAAGAAAAATTAGGTCGATAGATTTGTTAGTGATCGTCTTGGGAGGAATATTTCAGTTTTTATTTGTTTTTAAATCTAACATGGAGATCAATCCGTGTGGCGAATGTTCGCATATTTTTGCATGTTGTTAGATTTTTCTTGCATTCTTTTCGCCGCTACCAGTACAGGTCCTCCAAATTAAATCACAATCAGGGGGAGTGGGTTTTAACTGTTTGCTGCTACCAGTGAAAATAAACATGCGCCGCTTTACTTTCAAGTTTCAACCCCTTGGAAAAGCTAGCACCATGTCCCCTTGCTGCTCTACAGGAGGAAGAGGAGGAGGAGGAAGAAAACTACTTGATGTCCCTTACTGACCAGATAGGGCTTCATAGCATTCAGTGCAAGGTATGGGTCTTCTTCTTCCTCATCCCCCTCCACCGTAGCCTAGGAGCTCAAGCAACTCTAGGCAGTGGCAATAGCAATAAAGTCAGTGTTGAGGCAGCCTGGTGGCCTCCCCATCGAATTGTGTGTCGGACTGGACTGCCTTCCTCACCCGAATAAAACGCACAGTCATTATAGATGAATTTGGGCCACATTTCCCTACACTTATAGAAATCGCTATTTGGCGAGCAACATTTGGCCGATCTGGGCCGCCCCCGGCCTACTGGCTGACGGCCCGGATTTCCGCGCGATCTTAAGACTTTAAGACTAAGATCGTGCGGCAATCCAGACCATCCGCTTTGCTGGACGGTCTGGATCGACGCGCGATCTTAAAGTCTTAAGATCGCGCGGAAATCCAGGCCCGGTAGGGCCGTGGGCGGCCCGGATCGGCACGCCCGTTGAGAAGAGGGCCGTTGAGGGGCGACGCCATGGCCCTGTTCGCGTCGAACGGCCCGTTGGGTCGAGGGCTGTCCGACTTTGCGCAACGGCTGCCCTACGTGACAAACTACCACCGTACGCGACAAACTACTGCCCTAATGGCAAACTTCCCTACGCTACAGAATGCCGTATGCGACAAACTGCCCTACGTACGTCGTTCTTGGTACTTTGTGCCCTACGATCTTGCCTACGCGACCTACTGACTTGCCTGCGCCCACCTAGGTGACCTACGCGACCTAGTCGACCTACCTACAGCCTACACGATCCATGCAACCTGCCTCGGCCTGCCTACCGTAATGCTCTCTCTCTCTCTCTGTGGATCTCCCTCTCCCTCTCTCTCTCCTCCCCCCCTTCTTTCTCTCCCTCTCCCTTTCTTTCTCTCAGTGCTTGGTCGTGTTTGGTTCATGCATCGGTGCCACTTTCGTACTACTTGGTGCTACTGGGTGCATTTGTGCTACATCGTGCTACTCCGTGCTTGGTTTGGTTTCGGTGCTATGTGCATCGGCGATTGGTTTGTGGGATCCGTGCTTGGTTCAGTCTGGCATAGTCGAACCTTTTTTTATGGAGTTGTGTAAAACGAACATGACGTCACACACA